AACACAAATAGAAAAATGGATTAATATCAGACTTCTCTGATAGTACAGTGGCTAAGAATCCACCCGCCAATGCAGGGGACGCAGGTTCACTCCTTGGTCTGGGAAGACTGCACATGCAAGTAAATAAGCCTGTGCGCCACAACTACTGAAGCCCACACGTCCAAAAGCCCCCACACGGCAACTCCTGCGCCCTGGTGCTGCAACTACTGAGAGAGCCTCTTTCACGTGGCAAAGGAGAAGCCACCCTAAAGAGAAGCCTGTGCACAGCAACGAAGACCCAGCGCAGCCAAATAAATAAATAAATTGTAAAGGACTGATATTCAGAATCTATGGATAAATTTGTAATTCAAAAACAACTCAAAAGCCAACCAGATTAATAAATTAAAAAAAGACTTGAGTAGATATTTTTTAAAGATATACAAATGACCAATAAGCACACCATGAGGGATGTAACCAAAATGGGAAAAGACACCACTTCACATCCATTAGGATGGCAATGATTAAAAGAAAAGAAAACAACAAGGACTTCCCTGGTGGTCCAGTTGCTGAAACTCCAGGCTCCCAAGGCAGGGGCCCCAGTTTCCATCCCAGGTCAGGGAACTAGATTCCACATGCCACAACTAAGAGTTCACATGCTGTAATTAAAGATGGCACATGCTGCAACAAAGACTGCAGATCAACGATCTGAAGTGCCACAAGTAAGACCCAGGGCAGCCAAAAGAATAAATAAATACTATAAATAAAAAACAAAACACAAAAAAGAAAAACCTTGCACTCATATCTTCAATTCCCTAATATTAAAAAAAAAAAAAAAAAAGATTGCATACTGCCAATACAGGTGGCAGATATTCAATCCCTGGTCATCACTTGTCAGGGAAATAACATCCTGCATGCCCCTTGGGGAGACCAAAACAAAAAAACAGAAAATAACAGATGTTGGCATGGATACAAACAAATTGGAACCTTGAAAAAGATCTTGCAGAAATCTCATGGTTTGTTTCAGTAGTAACCATGTCAGTGACAACAATGTTGCAGAGTCAGGCACAAAAAGAATGTCAGGCATAGGAATGGAGTAAAACTTGGGTACCATTCACTTGGAAAGTCACTTGGCCAAAAAGAGGGCAAACAAGGAGAAATAATAGGCTGATGGAAGACTACTGACCCTGACAGTTTCTCAAGGCAAGAGAAGTAAAAGCAAAAACAAATAAATGGGACCTAATCAAACATAGTCATGTACAGATGTTCCCACAGTCATGTACGGATGTGAGACTTGGACCATAAAGAAGGCTGAGAGCTTAAGAATTGATGCTTTCACAGCCCTCAGATTGGGAGAAAATAATAGCAAATGGAGCAACAGACAAAGGATTAATCTCAAAAATATACAAGCAACTCCTCCAGCTCAACTCCAGAAAAATAAATGACCCAATCAAAAAATGGGCCAAAGAACTAAACAGACATTTCTCCAAGGAAGACATACAGATGGCTAACAAACACATGAAAAGATGCTCAACATCACTCATTATCAGAGAAATGCAAATCAAAACCACAATGAGGTACCATTATACGCCAGTCAGGATGGCTGCTATCCAAAAGTCTACAAGCAATAAATGCTGGAGAGGGTGTGGAGAAAAGGGAACCCTCTTACACTGTTGGTGGGAATGCAAATTAGTACAGCCACTATGGAAAACAGTGTGGAGATTTCTTAAAAAGCTGGAAATAGAACTGCCATATGACCCAGCAATCCCACTTCTGGGCATACACACCAAGGAAACCAGATCTGAAAGAGACACGTGCACCCCAATGTTCATCGCAGCACTGTTTATAATAGCCAGGACATGGAAGCAACCCAGATGCCCATCAGCAGACGAATGGATGAGGAAGCTGTGGTACATATACACCATGGAATATTACTCAGCCATTAAAAAGAATTCATTTGAATCAGTTCTAATGAGATGGATGAAACTGGAGCCCATTATACAGAGCGAAGTAAGCCAGAAAGATAAAGACCATTACAGTATACTAACACATATATATGGACTTTAGAAAGATGGTAACGATAACCCTATATGCAAAACAGAAAAAGAGACTCAGATGTATAGAACAGACTTGTGGACTCTGGGAGAAGGCGAGGGTGGGATGTTTCAAGAGAACAGCATTGAAACATGTATATTATCTAGGGTGAAACAGATCACCAGCCCAGGTTGGGTGCATGAGACAAGTGCTCGGGCCTGGTGCACTGGGAAGACCCAGAGGGATCGGGTGGAGAGGGAGGTGGGAGGGGGGACTGGGATGGGGAATACATGTAAACCCATGGCTAATTCATTTCAATGTATGACAAAAACCACTGCAATGATGTAAAGTAATTAGCCTCCAACTAATAAAAATAAATGGAAAAAAAAAAAGAATTGATGCTTTCAAACTCTAGCACTGGAGAATACTCTTGAGAGTCCCTTAGACAGCAAAAAGATCAAACTAGTCAATCCTAAAAGGAATCAATCCTGAATATTCACTGGAAGGACTGATGCTGAAGCTGAAGCGCCAATGCTTTGGCCACCTGATGTGAAGAGCCAACTCAATGGAAAAGACCCTGATCCTGGGAAAGAATGAGGGCAGAAGGAGAAGAGGGCAACAGAGGATGAGATGGTTGGATGGTACCATTAAGTCACCGGACATAAGCCAACTCCAGGAGATGGTGAAGGACAGGGAAGCCTAGCATGGAGTTCATGTGGTCGCAAAGAATTGGACACGACTGACTGAGTGATCAACAACAAAATCAAAGAAAAGCTTTTGCAGAGCAAAGGAAACCATAAACAAAACAAAAAGACAAACTACTGCAAATAATGTAACTGACAAGGGCTTAATTTCCAGAATATATACAGAGGAGTACAACTGATAACAAAGAAACCCAACCCAGAAGCGCTAACTAGACATCTCTCCAAAGAAAAAATACAGATGGCCAACAGGCACATGAAAAGGTGCTCATCATCACTAATTATCAAAGAAATGCAAATCAAAACTACTATACAATGAGGTACCACGTCACACTGAACAGAATGGCCATCAGTAAAATGTCCACAAATATGGTCTTTCCTTACAGTCCAGTGGTTAAGAATCCACCTTGCAATGCAAGGGATACTGGTTCAATCCATGATCCGGGAAAATCCCATGTGCCGCGGAGCAACTAGGCCTGTGCACCACAACTCTATAGAGCCCACAAGCCACAACTACTGAAGCCTGTGGGGCTACAGCCCATGCTCCGCAACAAGAGAAGACAACTCAGAGAGGAGACCCCTCTCTCCGCTGAGAAAAGACCCAGCAAAGCAACAAAGACCCAGTGTGGCCAAAATTAAAATAAGTAAATTAATTAATTTTTTAAAAGTCTACAAATAACAAATTTGGGAGAGGGTGTGGAGAAAAAGGAAACCTCTTACACTGTTGGTAAGAATGTAAATTGGTACAGTCACTATGGAAAACACTATGGAGGTTCCTTAAAACAAGAAAAATAAGAGTTACCTTAAGATCCACCAATCCCATTCCTGGGCTTGTATCCAGAGAAAAACATAGTTTGAAAGAATACATGCACCCCAATATTCCTTGCAGTAATGTTTACAATAGCCAAAGAAATGAAAGCAACCTAAATGTCTGTCGACAGACCAATAGATGAAGAAGATGTGGTGCTTATATACCATGGAATAGTACTCAGCCACTAAAACAAATGAAATAATGCTATTTGCAACAACATGGATGGACCTAGAGATTGTCAATACTGAGAAAAGTTAAGTCAGAAAGAGAAGGAGAAATAGTTATGACATCCCTTATACGCAGAATCTAAAAAGAAATGATACAAATGAAGTTGCAAAACAGAAAGAGTCAGATTTAGAGAATGGCTGTGAGAAGGAAGGACTGCAAGAAGGGATAGTTAAGGAGTTTGGGGTGGACATGTGCACACTCTTGTATTTAAAATGAAAAACCAACAAGAGCTTACTATACAGCACAGGAAACTGCTCAATGTCATGTGGCAGCCTGTATGGGAGGGGAGTTTGGGAGATGACAGATACCTGTACATGGATGGCCCAGTCCTTTCCCTGTTCACCAGAAACTATCACAACATTGTTAATCGGCTATAACCTGTTACAAAATAAAAACTTAGGAAAACCAGAATAGATTCAAACCAACCAAAACTGAAAGTATTCTGTGGGAAGAAACAACATATTTCTATCTGTTCACTGGAAAAGTGACTCAACCAGTTAATGTGCCAGATTACATTGAGCACCTACTATACAGTAGGCACTCTTCTAGGCTATGAACACAGCTGTGAAGCAGGTATAAAAGCACTCTCGGATACTAGCACTCTAAGTGGGGAAGGCAGATCATAAACAAGTAAGCAAACAACCAGGATACCTCAAAGGTGCTTTTAGGAACAGGATAACGTCCCAGAGAGTGACTAATGTGTGTATGTGTTGGGGAAGGGCTTCTTTAAACCAGGTCATTTTGAAAGGACCTCAGGCAAGAAAGACAAATATCATATAATATCACTCAAATGAAATTTAAAAAAGAAAAAAAAAACTGATACATACAGACTTATTTACGAAACAGAACCAGACTCAAGGATTTAGACAATGAACTTGCTGTTGCCAGAGGGGAAAGGAGAAGGGCATGGATAGTCAGAGTTTGTGACTGACATGTACTGCTGTATTTAAAACGGATAACCAGCAGAACCTAATGTAAAACAGGAATTAAAACAAAATTTTAAATCAACTATGATTCAATAAAATTAAATACAAAACAAAGACTGTTGACCCTGAATCCTCAGCTGCAATTTGGGCTACAGGTGTTCAGGCACTAAGGAGTAGGGATGCACTCTCCATAGACATACTAACCACAGCACATAACTCAGCACTTTAAGAAAGCGGCGATGTGAGGAGTAAAGAGCTGTCCTCAGGGGCAAGGAGAAAGACAGAGCCTGGCTCAGAGGAGGGAGGTGAGTGTGCAGGCCTTACCCAGCATGCATACAAGTGCAAAGTTCTCCAGCATGACATCGAGGTACAGCTGTATCTGAGCCTCATCAAGAAGACACCATTCCTCCCAGGAGAAGTACATGGCCACATCCTCAAAGGTCACACTGCCCTGGTATAACACGAACAAATAAAACCATCAACAGTCTCACTCCTGAAAAGCCACCATCTGTTTTCCCATGTATCTCCCCACAGCCCAGTAGATGTAACCCCCTGGAAACCTCCTCTGATCTGAACCTTTCATTGCCTCCAGAATACACAGGCAGTCATTTGAAGCTGAAATCCTGCTCTTCCCTGCTGCTTATTCCCACCAGAAAAAATAGGAGACCTGCACTTACCTAAACCAGCTCAGCTTCACCTCAAAGCACCTCCATGGACTGACACGGGTTCCAGGAGTCATGTTCCATACTTCCTCCACAGAGCAGGCCTGCACTCAATAACCCAAGCATGGCGTTCCCAAGGCCACCAAACCAAAAAACTGGTAGGATGGCAGGTGAAGAGCCCCAAGACCTTACTCAAATACAGAGGATTTGCGCCTAGGGGTGATAACAAGTGAGGGACTGGAACAACTTCTACTTACTAAAAGTGCTTCTGCAGCCCTGGGAGTCTGCGGGAACACGAAGGCCACGGAGGAGAGTGACCAGGGCGGTGCTCCAAGGACTCAGGACATGCCAGGGCCGCTGCCTGGTACCAGGGCCAGGGCGCCTCAGCTGACTGGCTAACCTCTCCTCTGTGACTCCATCGTCAGTGCTGCCCTTTACCATATGCTACCGTGGAAAAGCCACAACTTCCCTCTGCTCAAAGTACTCATCACTCCCTACAGACTTTTCTTCCACTGAACAGTCTTTGGAGAACTTTAAAAAGCTCGACGAGATCGTGTCCTTCCTTTGTTCAAAACTCCACGGCTCCCAAGGCCCTAAAAAGAAAGGTACAATACAACCTCTCATCTAGTAATCGAGCTGCAGCCTGACCTCAAGACTTTGCTCCTCACCGAAACAGGATGGACTATAGATTCCCCAACGATCCTGCTTCAGCTGCATCCAAGCCTCACCCACACATTACACTTGTCTTCAGAAATAAGGACACCACCTCCGAAGGCCTCCATGTTGTGAACCAGGGGCCTAAGATAAAGCGACCTGAGCAGTCGCTTCTAACTCTGAGCATCAGTATTTCAGTGAGGAAATGTGCAGGGGAGAACCCGGAGCACGAAGGGTTTACCTGATGTAGAGCCGACAGCGCAGCCGCCGCCATAGTAGCCTGTGGGCGGAGCGACAACACTCGAACAACCGAGTCGGACTCGGCACGGTTATTCTCGGCCGACGGCGACGCCTGCAACCCTGCGCAGTAGGGACAAAGCGTCCAACTTCGCCTTAGCCCGTCACCTCCCTCTCCAACAACACACTCCGGAGCTTCTGACCAGCTCCACAGTCCCGGCAGCGACCAAAATGTCAGCCACCGAAACGCCGGAAGTCCCACTACCGGATGTTCCGCCTCTAGGAAATGCACCGGCTTTGGAATTTCATTGGCTGAAGGTGGCTTTAGCGCAAAATCTCCTGGATAATGTAGTGCCGCAGCCTCGAGCAATTGCGCCCCACTCTGGAAGCCCCAAGAAAAAAAGCGCAGCGGCACCGCGAGGATCGCAGAGAAATCACCTGAGGTGGAGGAGGGTAGTTCCACAATTCTAAAGAGGATGGGGGCCCCATGAGGGAACGAAAATAGGGTGCTACACAGCAGCCTATCCTTTAATGCTTTACTTTTAATTATTTAATGCTACTGATCACTTAAGTGTTATAATCTCAGACTCCTTGAAACCAAACCTACTTGGCATCCGTTGGTAACTGGAAGTAAACATACATTATCCTATTGCTCTTGAAATGTATGCAGCGAAGTGTTGAAGTCATTTAAGAAAAAAGTCTACAATACCCTGAATGGGAATGCAGAAAGTTGATATCTAACAGGCTTGATGAAACCTAACAAGAGATAAAGCAACTTAGCAAGTATAACTTCCACATTGATATCTAGTCAAACACCTGTTTCCTACGCTTAATATCGGATTTCTATGGCAAGAGTCTTAAGTTGGCTTGCAAAGAACAGCCCTTACGGTGTTTCATGCCAGTGTTTTTCCATCCACTGTCCCCTAACATTTCTTCTTGGCTATAAATTCTCAGCTGTCTTTACTGTAACATTGAACTCAATCTTTCACTCCTATTGTAACAAGCCCAGAACTTTGGTCATCCATCTCACACGCCTATCCCAACATCTCTCTGGAGTATTTGTGTGTTTCTCTGGCCAAACCTGCTGTGCTGGGTCTGAAATTCCCACTGTTATCTTCCAACAAGATCTCATATCTCATTCCCCTTTGTGCCGTGGTACATGAGTTTGTAGATCCAGCCGCAATGGAAGGGTGGTCAGCATTCAAACTCTGTCACACTGTGTCCCCTGTTGGGCTAACATGCAGCAATATTTAGAATACTTTCATGTGCAATAAAGTTACTGGAGTTACATTAAGGGCTCTCTTAGTTTACAAATGCATTCTAAGATGTATGCAATGACATGATACCTGGGATTATAAATTTAAAAAACACAAAAGTACATGATGCTACAAAAACACAAAAAACTTGCATGATAAGATAGATGATGTAACATAGGGCAAGGACCCAATAATCATTCCATTTATATAAACATTTGAAAATAGTCTCACAAAAGTGGTGGGCTGCACTCAAGGCTCAGTGGTAAAGAACCCACATGCCAATGCAAGAGACGCAGGTTTGATTGATCCCTGGTCTAGAAGGATCCCACAGGCCCCCGGAGCAGCTAAGCCCACGCACCACAACTAGTGAGCCTGTGCTTTAGAGCCTGGGAACCATGACTGAGGCCCATGATCTAGAGCCGGTAGTGTGCAACAAGAGAAGCCACCGCTCTCCACAACTAGAGAAAAGGCTGCACAGGAATAAAGATATAGCACAGTCAAAAATAAGTAAGTAAATACAATTATATATATATATATTTTTTATATATATTACAATTATATATTTTTAAAAGTAGAATATGCTCTTGCATCAGTAATTTTAACGCTGAGGATAAGTTAAAAATGGCAGGAGGACACTGCTTCAAGGTGTGTACACAAGTATCAAAACATACATCTTAAATAAGTAAAATTTATTTTAAGTCAACTATACATCCATGAAATGTTTAAAACAAATATCCAAAACCTGTCATTTTATAAACATTCAAGTAATGTAAAATTCTTAAAATTATATATAGAGATACTGAACTTGTAAAAGGTGAAGTTACACAATGGTGGCCTACTGGCAAAGGTTCCCAACTCCAGGTTAAGTGACATTATGCTGGCAATCTGACACTAACTATGGGAGTATTTACACCCACAGAAATTGGCAAACATTATAAAATAGGACTTACTTTGTAACTTAATTTCTATGCTTAAGACTGAAATAACCTATGTTAAAAATTCAGATTTATCTTAAATGTGTATAATGTATCTGCTCATTACATCATGCATACTAAAGAAATTGACGAGAACATTTTCTTTCAGTATTCCAAATTCTGTGCAGGCATCATTGACATTACTGGCTAATGGGTAAACTCTCACAGATGTCTTTCTTGTTTACCTGCTCTCCTATTCATCAAAAAAAAAAAAAAAAGAAAGAAAGAAAGAAAATGGGGACATAAAAGAATGCAAAAGATAAGAATAGGAAGATCTCCAAACAAGACACATAGGTAAAGAGATATTAAGAAACAACACTCAACCTCAAGAATCCTGACGAATGCAATTAAAATCATGATTTCACACTGCTGTTACATGGTCTTCATTGGAGGTATCAGCATGCATCCAGTCTTAGATTTTAACATAGGTTGAATTTCTGGGTCCTATGGTAGCTTTATTCCTACATTTAAGAAACCTCCATACTGCCCTCCCTAATGTTTATATCAATTTCCACTCTCACTATATACCCTGAGAAAACCATAATTCAAAAATACACGTGTTCCAATGTTCACTGCAGCAATATTAAAATAGCTAGGACATGGAAGGAACCAGGATACTCACTGACAGATGAATGGATAAAGAAGTTGTGGTATATATATATATATATAGTATTACTCAGCCATAAAAAATAATCAATGTGTCAGTTCTAGTGAGGTGGATGAACGTAAAAGCCCATTATACAAAGTCCAAAAAAGGACAACAAATATAGCTTACTTATGCACACATATGGAATCTAGAAACATGGTACTGATGAACTTATTTGCAAGGAGAAAGCACAAATATAGACAGATTTATGGACACAGCAGGTGAAGGAGAGGGTGAGAGGAATCCAGAGTTATCATTGAAATATATAATTACCATGTGTAAAATAGCTAGTGAGAAGTTGCTGTATAACACAGGGAGCTCAACTCAGTGCTCTCCGACATCCTAGAGGTGGGATGGAGTGGGGGGCGCGGTCAAGAGGGAGGGTACATATGTATACTTATGGCTGATTCATGTCATTGTATGAAAGGAGCCAAAGTACTGTAAAGAAAGTTTCCAAACAAACATTTTTTTTTAAGAAATGTTCATCAACTGTGCTTCCTAATGATGGGGGGGGGGGGGCAAGTTCTTACTGATTAGCAATCATTACTGGGCAACTTCCATTTTTTGGAGTGGGGGTAGGAGGAGCAGTGACAGGACATGCAGAGGTTAACAGGAAGAATGTTGGAGACCAGGCTATGTGAGGACCACAGAGGATACTCTTAGTTCTTCAGTATTCCTCACACTGCCTAGAACATGAGTGGGTCAACTGCATAATGGGACAACAGGCACATCCCAAAGTGGTGAAGCCAGTGTAAAATGTAGAGTGACCCAACGAGCGAGTCTGGAGTCCCTGGCTTAGTGTTGCTGTCCCTTTGAAGAACTTGCAAGCGGAGAGTGTTTGCAAGAATGGTGCAAAGGTGGAAATGAAGCTGGAACCCCTGGTGGTGATGCATCAGGTGTGCATAGTTCATGGTCAGAACACAGGAAATAGAGTCCCTGCTCTGAGCAGCAGCAAAGCCACCAGCGTATATGCGCAGTGTAGAAGAATCCGTCTCACGAAAGGTCTGGCAATAGAGAGCCCTTATGAAAAGCCCTCTACCTCTCTGAGATGGATGCCCCTTCTTTCTCAGATAGCAATAATAAAAACTGAATCACAGCCCTGGTTTTGTTGAGTAGCTAAATGGAAGAATCTGCAGGAAAGTCATCAATGTTGGTTTTCAGAAAAAAGATAATCAGTGTGAGGCTAGGGTATAAGCAGGGCTCATCAGGCAGGAGATGAGGGGTGCAGAAGTGTCAGGATGGACAAGGTGTTCTTTCAGTCTCCAAACCTGGAGGGAGGAGGAAGAGGTAAAATGACCAGACTCCCTAAATCTTGAAACAGGTTACCTGGAATTAAATCCCAGATCCGTATCCATTTCGAAGAGATCACAAACATGATACAGCATCTCTGTGCTTCAGTTTCCTCTCTAGAAAGTGTCCATTTGCTGCATAGGTACGTCCCACTTTCTTACTACCTCAAATCCCTCAATGTCACTGCCAGTCATATTGCGATATTCATAAAGCCCTTTCTCCAGTGTGAGCTACTTGACGGCTAATCAAGTGGCATTTTCAGGAAAATGATTGACCACATTCCTTGCACTCGTAAGGGTTTTCTCTAGCGTGGTTTATCCTAAAGGAACTCAGTTGGTGGGTTTCGTTAAAGGATGTTCTATATTCACTGCGCATATACAGTGTTTCTCCTCTGTGACTGCCCTGATGATAATGGAAGCCAGACAGACTATATAAGACTTATCACATATATTACACTAATAAGGCCTTTCTAAAGTATGAATTCTCTGATGTCCAATGAAAGTTACTTACAGGTAAAAGATTTATCACATTCTTTGTACTGATAAAGCTTTTCTCCACTATGAATTTTGCTATGGGTACTGAGGTTCTTCCTTCAGCTAAAGGATTTCCAACATTCAGTGCAGGCATAAGGCCTTTCTCCACTGTGAACTCTGTGATGTACAATTATGTTCCAGTTTTGGAAAAAAGATGTATTATATTCATTGCACTCGTAAGACTTTTCTCCAGTGTGGATTTTCCTATGGATATGTAGAAGCTGTCTCTGGCTAAAGCGTTACCAATATTTAAGCCCTTTCAGAAGTGTGAACTCTCTGATGCCGATGAAGGCCTGACCTATCAGTAAAACATTTCCCACATTCTCTGCACTCATAAGGCTTTTCTCCACTGTGAACTCTCTGATGCCGATGAAGACGTGACCTATCAATAAAACATTTTCCACATTCAATGCACTCATAAGGTCTTTCTCCACTGTGAACACTCTGATGATTCTGGAGGCCTCTCTTAACAATAAAAGATTTCCCACATTCACTGCACTGATAGGGCCTTTCTCCGCTGTGAACTCTCTGATGATACCGGAGACCACTTGAAAAAATAAAACATTTCCCACATTCACGGCACTCATAGGGCCTTTCTCCACTGTGAACTCTCTGATGATACTGAAGACCTCTCTTATCAATATAACATTTCCCACATTCACTGCACTCATAAGGCCTTTCTCCAGAATGAACTCGCTGATGATAATGGAGGTCAGATTTAGCGATAAAAGATTTCCCACATTCACTGCACCCATAGGGCCTCTCACCACTGTGAACTCTCTGATGATACTGGAGGCCACGCAGAGCAACAAAAGACTTTCCACATTCACTGCACTCATAAGGCCGTTCGCCAGTGTGAACTCTCTGATGGTCAATTAACCTCCCCTTCTGGATGAAAGATTTACCACATTCCTTGCATTTATAAGGCTTTTCTCCAGTGTGGATTTTTCTATGGATTCTGAGGTACCTCCTTTGGCTAAATGACTTTCCACATTCAGGACAGGCATATAGCATTCCTCCAGAGTTAAATCTCTGACCTGCAAGGAAGCCAGATTTGTGGGTAAAAAATTTTCCAGAATGGCTGCATTCATAAGACCTTTCTCTGGCACGAACTTCCTGGTGCTGAATAAGGCTATTTCTTTGGGTGCAGGCTTCCCTACATTTGCTGAACTCACAAAATCCTTCACCAGTGAGGGCTTCTTCATCCTGAACAAGTATGTCTGTGGGGTTGGAGACTATCTTGCCTCCTCCCCAGCTCTGATGACTTTTTCCACTGTGAAAAACAGCATCATATTCCTTACTGTTGTTTTGTGGCATCCTGGTATTAGTAGTTCGTTTCTGAACTCCCATGTAGGCCACTAAGTCATTCCCAATCTCTGTGTTGGTAGACAGATTCCTTGCTGCATGGATTGTACAGCTTTTCAAATATGCAGGTCTTCCCATACGACACTGGCAGAATTTCACTCCAATGCGGTGCCGAACATTGGCAGTAAAATAAAATTGTTTCCCACATGCCCCACATATGTATTCTTTTTGCTCCCTATTTGTTCCTTGCTCTTCAGCTAAATGTAAAATGTCTCTCAAGACTGGGACACATATCTTACAGGGCTGGGTATTCTCAGGAGACAATTCTGCCCTGGGAGCCCTAATCTGTGATGCTCCCTCTGCAGATACATTCTGTTCAGAACATGTCTCTGCATCCTGGACTCCACGACAAGAACCTGAAAACAAACAGGTTGACTTTATTGGAGGGAATGACATCATCACAACTGTACATCTGATACATGAAAGAGGCACTCCATGGAATCCTGTTCAGGACATGAACTGGGATTAATCTGAAGAAGTAGCTGCTCTCACCACATCCAGGACACAAGGACTGGAT